GTTTTGATTAAAATATTCTGGAAATTTGTAAGGAAGGTTGTTTTAATGATTTCTAGGTCAAGTTCGAAGATGGGTCATCTCTGGTCAAAAACTAGGTCACAGGAGCTAAAAATAGAAAAAGCTTGTTAACACTCTAATGGTTGCAGTTTTCATCCAAACATTCTGGAAATTTGTCAGAAAGGTTGTTTTGATGATTTCTAGGACAAGTTCGAAGATGGGTCATCTCAGGTCAAAAACTAGGTCACAGGAGCTAAAAATAGAAAAAGCTTGTTAACACTCTAATGGCTGCAGTTTTCATCTAAATATTCTTGAAATTTGTCAAGAAGGTTGTTTTGATGATATCTAAGTCAAGTTGGAAGATGGGTCATCTCCGGTCAAAAACTAGGTCACAGGAGCTAAAAATAGAAAAGCTTGTTAACACATTAGGGGCTGCAGTTTTCATCCAAATATTCTGGAAATTTGTCAGGAAGGTTGTTTTGATGATTTCTAGGTCAAGTTCGAAGGTGGGTTATCTCCGGTCAAAAACTAGGTCACAGGAGCTAAAAATAAAAAAAGCTTGTTAACACTCTAGTGGCTGCAGTATTGATTGAAATATCTGGAAATTTGTCAGGAAGGTTGTTTTGATGATTTCTGGGTCAAGTTCGAAGATGGGTCATCTCAGGTCAAAAACTAGGTCACAGGAGCTAAAAATAGAAAAAGCTTGTTTACACTCTAGTGGCTGCAGTTTTGATTCAAATATTCTGGAAATTTGTCAAGAATGCTGTTTTGATGTTTTCTGGGTCAAGTGCTAAGATTGGTCATGTCCGGTCAAAAACTAGGTCACAGGAGCTAAAAATAGAAAAATCTTTTTAACACTCTAGTGGCTGCAGTTTTGATCCAAATTTCCTGGAAATTGGTCAGGAAGGTTGTTTTGATGATTATAGGTCAAGTTTGAATATGGGTCGTGTCCGGTCAAAAATTAGGTCACATTGCCCAAATATGGAAAAATCTTTATAACACACTAGAGGTCACATGTTTGACTCAGTTGTCATCAAACTTGGTCATGATGCTTGTTTAAGACATTGCTTGGATGCGGTTGTGTCAGGTGAGTGATCCAGGGCCATCATGGCCCTCTTGTTTTAACATTTAAATCAGTACATTCAAAGCCTGAGGAATTTCGATAGCAAAATACAAAATTCTAGCTAGTTAGCAGATACAGTATTTATCCTGCTCGGACTGGCAAAAGTGTATCACTTAAGTATATGGTTATCAAAATAAATACGAAAAAATGAACATTTGTCAAAAAATAAATGTCATTATGTTTTATAAAAGTCTTTATGGTACTGGTGTGATTTCTACAGCGTTTAAGCTCTGACTTTTGCCTTTATAAAATAATGATAAACCTTTCTGAAACAAAACTTTTGACTACTAAGATGATACTACAGTATAATCTATTGCGAAACCTTTAAAGACATATTGGATAGTGACAATGGATATTAAAAAACAGTGAACACTGTTTGGTTTTCGGGCTTCTATTAACTTAGATTGATTTTCAAACCTTAAAGCGTTATTTAAATAAGTGTATAAAATGAAAAATATCAGTTTTCAATATCTACTACATAGTTACATAGAGGATATTGCATGAGTAAATTTTATTGAAATAGTTGAATAAAATCGTATTGCGCGCGCCTCTGGCGAGTCCCTTGCTTTATTCAGCAAGTTCAATAAATTAAGTATTGAATTTACATACACATACGTACATATTTTACTATACACATTCAAAACAAGAATGGTTTACATGTAAAAAAGAGTGATGTTTCATTGATGCGCTTAAAGTGTAACATCAGTTCGTTTTAATTAACACTATGTTTTTAGGGGTCGTAGTTAAAAGGGCAAGCTTTTCCGTGGATTCAAATTTTCCTTCCGTAAGGAGCTTACAATTATTATATTAAGATATAAAGTTATGGGTGGATGAACATACTCATTACGTGCATTCCTGGTCGGTAAAAATGTAATCATTGTTGGATTATGTATCATTAATATATAAAGTTACCTCCCTTTTTTCTATTTGTTTGAATTGTGGTCTGATGGTTTTAATCAGAAATACATTTTTGCTGATATCTATTGAAAAGGTTTGCTGTGTTAAAAACAAGAAAAGGAATACATGATATAGAATATTTTTTATGAAATGAGGTATAAAAAAATATGTAAAAATACATTTTACTCATACTTATTAGTAATATAAATATACTGTCCTATCTAACCTGACACTTGTTACTCATTATTAGTACATGTAAACAAGATATAAGGTAAAATAAATGTAACTTTTTCTATTGTTCTCTTTAATTAAACATTTAAACATTTACAAATTATGCAATAACAATATTTACGTGTATTTTTCCATACACATATGCTTCTTAAATTTCAGTTTTTAAGAAAATTGTATTATCATTAAATAGAAGAAGCAGTTGATTTCTCTTGTTACACCTGCAGAATAAAAACAACATAATACTACCAATTGTCAATTAGACACTTGAGGTTACGGTTTACCATATTACTATAAAAAACATTATTTAGTTCTTTTTAAAAATACTTTCCATTTCAGTAACCAGACATTCACTTTCTTTCCAAAATTAACAAAAATATATTTATTACAATATTTCGATGAATTTGTCAAATAGGAAGTCATGAAATATTAGATGAATTTTGTATTTTTATATCAATTAGACAACTTTATGCTGTGTATTATCTACATCAAATAAGATTTCAATAAGATGTATAAATTCAATTATACATGGAAAAGATAAAACAACAGCCCCGTATGCTGTGTTACCGCTCGTCTGTTAATGGCAACAAACATTCTAAGTTAAAATTGGGCATAACTCTAAAAATATCGTTTTCACAATTATATCCCTTGTCTTACAACTGTACCTTTTCATGTTGATAATTTTTAAATGATTGGAAACAAGTTTATTGCACGGCGACGACAACGACGACCAAGCAATTATAATATCTCGGTTTTTTCTTCTTCGAAACAGGCGAGCTAATTAAAGAGCGACAAAATATATTTCATTCAACATTTTCTTGATCTTCTTAAATATGAGAAATAATTGCAAACAATTGTTTCTTTTATACAAAGATACAATAAAAGCAAAAACAAACAAAAACACACACACGTAATTCATCGGTTCTTGGTTAATACTGATATGCTTTGAGGTAGTTGTAAAACTTTTATCATAATTGTTATGTGCAGTACTTGATAATATCAAAAAAAAGGAAAAGGAAAATCGATATCGGATTGTATTTTTATCTTAAACTCAATTATAGCAAAAACACTGAATGCAAAGGAAAAACTTTATTGCGTATTCATTGATTACAAGCAATTTTTTGATAAAATTGAACACAAATACCTCTGGCATAAACTGTTAAATGAAAATGTGAGTGCCAAGTTTGTCTCAGCACTGCGTGCCATGTACAACTCTGTTAAGTCTTGTGTTCGGTTTAACTCGGAATTGTCCCCCTTTTTTGATTATACGTCTGGAGTAAAGCAGGGAGACCCCAGTTCACCTTTGCTGGCCATGTTTTTTGTAAACGATTTGATAAATAATATAAATAGTGATATGTCGGGAACTATATCCCTTGATGATATGAATCTCTTTCTATTAATGTATGCAGACGATATGGTTCTTTTTAGTAAATCTAAAGAAAACCTTCAACTTATGGTCAATGACGTCGAATCATTTTGCAATATATGGGGTCTCGAGATTAATGTTGAAAAAACAAAAGCTATGATATTTGAAAATGGCAGATCAACTCATATGGACATTAAAATTTATAATACTACAATCGAACTTGTTAAATCTTTTAAATATCTAGGCGTACATTTATTCAGTAATGGTAGTTTTCAAAGGTCACAAAAACTTATAGCGCAACATGCCTCGTTTTCATTACATAAGCTTTTCCAAATATTTGACAGAACAGTATTACCAACTTCGCAAAAAATTAAACTTTTCGATATATTAGTGGGATCTATCTTAAATTACTGCTCTGAGGTTTGGGGGTTGCATCCAGCATCAGACATTGAACTTGTACACACCAGATTTTTAAGGAATATATTAGGAGTAAAGAAGTCAACAAATTTAGCAGCCCTCTATGGAGAACTCGGTCGGGTTCCAATGTTTGTTATGCGAAAATATAATATGATTAAGTATTGGAATAAGCTAATAACTCTAGACAATGATAGTATCGTAAAGAAAGTATATAATAATTTGAAACTAGATGATCAAAATAATTTAACATATAAAAACAGAAATTGGGTATCTCAAATAAAACAAATTTTGAATGAACATGGTTTTGGATACGTTTGGCTGTCACAAAAACTTGATAATACAACACTCCAATTGATAAAACAAAGAATATTTGATAACTATTACCAAAAATGGTATTCTGAAATAAACAACTCGAGCAAATTAAAAACATATGCAATTTTTAAACATGAATTCAAAAGAGAAAAATATCTAGATACTATTAAAGAAAATTACTTAAAAACAGCTTTAGCTAAATTCAGAGTCTCAGCACACCAATTAGCCATAGAAACGGGAAGATACACTAACATACCCCAAAATGAGCGTCTTTGTAAGTCTTGTAACATGCAATCTATTGAAACAGAATACCACTTTTTACTAGTTTGTCCAAAATATAGAACCATTAGAAGTAAATTTTTTAAAAGTTATTATTGTCACTGGCCTTCTTTAAACAAATTTGAAAATATCATGTGTTCATCATCAAAAAATACTTTATATAACTTAGCAAAATTCATTTTTTCTGCAAATAAAATTCGCATTGTTTAAGGCATCATATTTTGATAATATTGTATTGAACTTCTTCTCTTTGTCTGTTTGTTAAGCTCTTGTTAATTGTTTACCTCATGTCTTATCCATTGAACATGTATATATGTTTATGTTGTTTATATGCTATAAACATTGTATAATGTTTCAGGCAATAAAATTTGAAATTGGAATACTTGATAATATCAAAGAATATAATAAAAGTCGACAGACATTGCAAAACTGTAAACGTTGCATGCCCGGTTATTAAGTCTGTTATTTTACGACATTGTTGAATGCAAATTAGATTACTCGCCTCTAAGATCTTAAGCAGAATCTTAATGTGCTTTCCTCATATGTTTGTTGTTTTCTTCAAACAGGATATATTGATAATATTATATTTCTTCATTGCAAAAGTTAAAGAAAAAGCCACATTTTTGTCGGATTATCCTTTCTGTAAGTAGTATGACACATCCTGTTCCGGTGCTGTAATAATATCAATACTCTACAATAAACTCCAAGACAACCAATTCTGAACATTACTGCACATAACATGTTCTGAATGGCCAGGAAAGACCTAGATTTCTTGAAAATCGGCATAATTAGAACCATTGTATGCAGTTTACAGATTCAGATTGCCTCTGCAAATGCGCTCTTTAAGTTTTGGTATGGAAGATCTTCAACTGTATGATTCAAACCGTGCTAGGTCGTGACAACCTTCTTCATGTGAAAAGATTCCTCTCGTGATGGGAAATGACGTCATTTCCTGAAAATATATTTATCAAAACACGTTCATCAAATGATTAAACAAAGAACTACTGATTCAAACAACAATTCACTCTATACATTGTGTAAAAATTTATGAACGAATTGTTTTGAGTTGTTGAGTTTAACTGTTTAAGGGCATATAGGACGGACATCGTTAGTACAGTAGTATTATTCACACCAATTCTGATTACAGACAACACCTACCTTTACTTGTATTAACAGTTCCTTCTTAATATAAAAATATATATTGTCATTAAAGTTTAAATAATTATGTCAACTACATCTAGATTATTCTGCCTTTAGAGATGGCGCTGCGTTTGAATATTTGCTCGGATAATCAAGATGTCATCAATTACGAGGGACCCGCAGAAATTACTACATAGAAAATTTCAAATTCATCAGGCTAGCTATATGTTTCGTCATATCCTTATAATACGTGGGATCCCCACTTTATATTATCGCCCTCTTAAATCATGCGAATGTTAAGAAAATAAATTGTGGACATTAGCTTAAATTATCGTTCTTTGTGCATGTAAAAAACTGAAAAGCTGTTTGAAATGGCTTTAAATGTTTTTAACAATATTACAATGCTAACCGTCAATATCGAATAATTCCTTCACCCATTTGTCCAGCATATAATTTTTACGCCTGCAAACGTCTAAAACAATACTTTGTACCAGTGTTACTGTAAAAAAATATATATATACTTGAAATGTACCGAAACATTTTCCGATCAGCAACGTTATGAATCAGGATATGTAGTATTATACATAATTACAGTACTGTATTGTTTGTTCGCAAATAAGTTATTGACATTCTAGTAAAGTCATATTGTTAACTTCTTATTTTATTATTCGTTTTAAATTAAGAACTGCAACTACTTAAAGCTTGGACATCGCGTTTAATTTTCAAGGTAGACAACTTATCAAATTTGCAAAGTATATTGCTATTAAAAATGATGAATGGTGTTTAATAGAACTTACAACTTGTACCACACACTTTTGTTTTGACTGCTCTGTAGAGACGTTTCTTTCCTTCTGAATTATTACATAAAATATTTCTGGCGAAGTGTTTGATTGGTCTGAAATAACAACGTGGCCGATATCATTTTTATTATCTTTCATAATACCGCTAAAATAATAAAATTTATTTCCCGAATACTAGTTTTCATTTTAATGAAACGCCTTAAAATGACTCGATCTGCCTTTGCAGTTATATAAAATCAGACACATTATATCTGAAACATGATCATTAGCACAAATATCCAAATGATCTTAATTATGATTAACCGATTAATTATCTACTTTGACTTTGGAACAGTCCATGCAGTGATTAAGGGGTTTCAAATATAAAAATAAATACAAAAATTGAATTGTGAACAGTTTAGAACCTGTCCAGACTACACAAATACAATTTATTAATTGCATTACTGCTATTTCAGATGGCTCAATGAAAACTTTAACAAAAACAGAAGAAGAAGAACAACAACAAAAAGGCGGGAAAAAAATCATGTACATGTAACATTTCTTATTAACAGATTAACAGACTAGATTTAAAAAATGTATGTAAATATCGAATAAAATCAACTCTAGAAAAAAGTCTATATTTCCAAGAACTTACATTACATGATTGCCGTGGTTCATTTTCTTTGCAGATCCACTAGTTTCCACCACATAGCTTCCCCTTTTCATAGTATATCCATCGCTTTTACGTATAATCAACCCAAATACAACGATCACTCTAAAGTAGCATTTAATTGATGTTGCCATGTGATAAATGTTTTCTATGAATATCACTTTTCCTGATCTCTCTGTATTTTTGTATTTCTTTTCTTTTTTCTTATTGATTTATTTATTTGATTTATTGATAAGTAGTGTTTTTGTATTAAATGCATTCAGCAATTTCCATAAACTTTTAATTTAAATTAATTCAATTTAAATTAATTTCTAATTTATAAATAATTCATTCCCACATTTATAAAACCACAGCGATTGTTTCCTGCTGTCTCGTTCAATTCTACGAAACGTTTCTTGAGAATGTTTTGTTTTATCAAACTAAATATTTATATACAAACAGGACTGGAGTATTCAAAAGTGCTCCAAGAGGGTTTTTCAGAGGCGTCAGCTGCACATGAAGCTACAAATATACCTGTAGGAAATGAATAATTGCTATAAATTTTTTCTTGATAAATTTATGTTTCTTATTTCTTTTGAACAAATCACCGCTCTTTCGGGCGGATCTTTTATGTTACTATTTATAAAGTAAACGCACTATTCGTTGAAATGTTCTCGCTGCGAAATGAACAGTCTCTGAAATGGTTTACCTACATTTGCTTTGCCTGCATCTTACTTGTGTAATTAATTATACATTATAGATAAGGTAATAAATGAAAGCAGTATTATTTATCTGCTAAACTTTATCAAAATATTTACTGTCTCCAAAGATTATAGAAAAAGCGATAGAATAATTTAATAATTTACCTGTTACTGTACATAAGGATGAAATATATATTTGAACACTGTCCATTAGTTATTTCAAAACGTTCAAAATTTCAACAAACGCCCTTTTCTGTATTAACAGTCCTGTTATTGCACAGTAGGATTTTACATACACAACTGTATATGTATTAAACATTTTCTAATGTTATTACAATACATTCAAAATAGAAACAAATGTCTCTTTCTGCGCCAACAATAAGAGTGCGTAAATGTTTTTTATGGCGGATATTATATAGAATAGGTTAAATACATTAACCGCTAAAGGAAGTTATCATGTGAAGATGAGAAACAATCTGAAGATTCATTGGCTGGTAAAGCCACACAAATGAGTCAGACGATTTTTACTAGTTGTTTCTTATCAAATGCTTTCCTTCTATCTAACTGTCGACAAAATGTTATAAAATGTTATAATAGAGTCAAACAGTGCCTTCGATTGCACATTTGTATTTTGTTTTCTATGCTCTCGGCCCTCGATTGCCTTTTAAGAATTTTATATTCACAACTGAAGATGGTGTATGCTGCGAAAAACGTTTAAAATAGAAACTTAGTCACAGTGTTCTTATCTTTTCCATGTCATTTAGATAGAACAAATTTAAAATATCACTATTGCATATGTTAAATAAAGTGTAAATCGGTGATTGGCGTGTGGGAGGTAGCTTGCACTTTCCAATTCAGTCCATTTTATTTACAGTTTTGTGCATTTTTGGGATTGATTTTTTCTATTTTAAAATTATCATCTAAATAGTTCAAATTTCATAGTTTCACTTAAATGCACAATGGAGTGACCATGGAAGTTATCTTCAAAAATCGAAATCAAACACTAAATGTGCCTATAAATAAATTAGATTGAACATTCGCAGATAACGATATAGATATAATATATTTAGCTGATTAATCAAAGAATTGAATGAAATCTTTTTAGTTATATCATTGATATTATTTGAATAGGGAATCGGGAAAAAAGAACGGTCTATTCGGCAAAACTGAAAATGTTCTGTTAAGATTAGCCTGTCTTGGCCAATAGAAATAAATGCATGCTACCGTAGCACCAGCTTAAGCGGAATTCAATATTAAAACATGAAACAGATGTAGGGATCAAAGTTTAGTTTTCATTATCAATTAGAAGCATTAATTGTCAACCATGTTTAATCGTTAATGCATGTGGCAATGATACATATACTTGATTCACCAAATAACCAATAAAAAAGGAATAAAAAATAAATAAAAAAAAAAAAAAACAAAAAAAACTAATATTAACAAAACCTGTTTTAATGACTGCTTTCTCTGCTTAATTTTGTACGGGAAACCAAGTCATCGCTACAAATTTCCTATAATTTCATTACCTAATGTATGATATGCATTAAGTCTCAAGTGATTCGGTATGAAACTCTTATATAAAAATGTGCCTGAATATGAAGAGGGCTCTTTAATATCATTGTGTAAAGCTATAATGAACAAGTAGGTACTAAATGGTATACTTTTTAATTCATTTTATTTTCCAAGAACACCCTTGAATCACACAGTATTACAATGCATATTCGCACCAGACGACATACACAATTTATCCATTCTTAGTATTAGGCTGAGCATCACTAGTCAGAATCATAAATATAATATATATTTAAATTCCATTACAATTCCCTTTCTTTTAAAAAAGTATCTTCGAAAGTTACAAGTTAACTTAAAACGTAATGACAAATTTCTTTTAAATGTTTAGGAGTTACAACGTGAAAGGTAATAAGAAAATATATAAGATATAATTGATTATAAAGTTGACACATGATAAGCAATCGCATAGTTGTAAGGACACAAAGTTTAATTTAGTATCGTCATCGATGCATGGGATCCTGCCACTTTTCAAATACAAGATAAAACGTATAGGAAACAAGAACGTGTTTGTTAAACACAAATGCCCCCGGCTCAGATTCTTGTTAGTAGCAATATTTCAAAAAATGTTTACCCATTCACTCAGTTATGGACAGAAAAATTGCCAAAAAAATGTAAACACAAGTTATATAGCTTGACAAAGTCATGGCATTTTGTAATTGTGAAAAATATAAGTTGCCAAGTCATTGCTCTGACTTGTGAAGTTGAAAAATATTCAACTTCATGCAAGTTATCTTCCTACCAAATATGAAATACATCTGTCAATAAATAAAGGCTGTATTGGCAAAAGTGTAAAAATCTATTTTTAGCACTGGTGACCTTGACCCAACTGACCCCTCACTCCATCAAAAGGAAGAATACCACGCAAGTTATCTTCCTACCAAATATGAAATACATCTGTCAATAAATAAAAGATGTATGGGCAAAAGTGTAAAAATCTATTTTTAGCACAAGTGACCTTGACCCACTGATCCCTATCCCAATCAAAAGGATGAATACCATGGAAGTTATCTTCCTACCGAATATAAATATATCTGTCACTTAATAAAGGCTGTATGAGCAAATGTGTAATAATCTATTTTTAGCACTGGTGACCTTGACCCAACTGACCACTAACTCCATCAAAGTTGATGTTTCTATCAATTATAAATAACATCTGTCTACAGAATAAGGTCAATACACCTGTAAAAATCTATTTTTAACATTGGTGACCTTGACATTGGTAACATTGACCTTGACCCAAATGACCCCTTACTACATCCAACGAAGAAGGACCTCCCTTGGCATGTTTGTAATAAACTAAGACATCAACTAAAAAATTAAGGCTGTATGAGCAAAAATGTTTATATTTATTTTTTAAACCAGTGACCTTGACCTTGACCCTAGAGACCGCTTACTCCTCAAAACATTAGAGGACCATCAAAGGTATCCACCTACTAAATATGATATATAAATATAAATATGTAACTTGCCCAGATCATGTACTTTGTATTGATTAGTAAGTGTGTAAACTTAGAAGCCATTGGTACAGGTAGAACTTAAGAAAAATCCAACTTGCCGTTCTAGGTTAACCTCGTACGGACAGACGGACGGACGGACAGACGGACAGACGGACGGACGGTTCAATTACTATATGCCCGGGGGCATAAGAAACATAACAATATCTACCCATGAGATTGCTTTTTTGCTTTCCTTTATATCAATCATACATTGAAGAAAAACTAAAATGTTAATGCATTTTGACATAAACTCATCTTGTTGCATACTTCACACAGTAACTAGTTACACAAACTAAGTTTACATATTTAGTACGATTAAAGAAAAGTAAAAGATCAACGAGGGAAAGCCAAATGCAGCTTTCCCCCAAACAAACCCAGGACCATCCATCGGTAAGGCACCCAGCAGAGTTACGAACAAAAAGGAGAGCACAAATGCGTAGCAAGAATAGTAAGTAATGAACAAACTGATAAGTAGAATGAAAGGGAATGAAATAAGTAACATTAACGAAACCTTACTCATTGAGGTTCCATTGACACAGCTGTTCAAAGAAAGTGTCTAAGATTTCCAAATGAAATATATGTGTTTTTTAAAGACGTAAATCTATGTTCAAGGGCATTGTACTCTAAATGAGAAATGATTTAAAAAAAGAATATGTATATATTTCTGGTGTTACCTCCTGTGCAATGAACAGTAAAGAAAACCTTTTATTATCATATGATTTTCGTTTTGCTTGAGTAGTTTAAAATTGCAAGTTTCACACTCACCGTGTCAGTCACAATGGTGCGAAATTAGAAATTAAAACACTTGAGTTTAATAATTATGTAACAGCAAGTAAGTGCAAGCACTTAAAACGAATACATAAAGTTACTATAAATGTGAAAAAGTGCCTTTGTAATCAGTGAGTCAAAGTTATTACAAAGTATGTAATAAGTATAGACAATCAGCATGGTTATATCACTTATCGTACCATTTGTTTAGTTGTTTCTTTTTAAATAGTTTAAACAAGGAATATAAAATATTATAATGATTTCTTTTATCATACGATTAAATACTTTAAAAACGTGTTGTTATGATCGCAGTTAAGTAACCACAACCACTTAAACACTTATTGGTGTTTTTTTTATAAGGGAGAACATGTTAAACCGATACTTTTTTGTTTTCATCTTTTCTTTTACTCTCTTGAAATACATTTTAGTGTAAAATTAAAAATATCACTTATCATTAATAAGAATGAATGAATGATATAATTTTATTTATATATTATTATATAAAGTCCACTTTTATATTTTATTAAACAAAATATATTATCGTCGGACACTATGAACAGTATAATCTTACCTGTACATAAAAGGCATTTTTCCATATAATCAACCTTAGGATACATGGCGTCATCATGTGAACATATGTACAGGTGTTTTAGAAAATTCATAATCTTCATATACATGTATAAATGTAACTAGAAATGTGTCATCATGCCACGGATGCCCCCGCATGCAGCCAAAATTTCAGATGGTGCATTAATTATTTTTTTCATTTTAAGTTCAAAGCCCTTAAAACTTTAAAATGTTAACACAAACCATTTTCATACAATGTTCAAGACACTGAAATTATTCAGTCTTAACCTTTTAAAAATAACATATTTCATATTTGTAGCCAAAATAATGGCTAAAAGTATGAGTGCTGAAACTGAAAGTACAAAATTTTTCCAACATTCAGGAAAGATAAGTTTGTCTAAAATCATTGAACCACAACCAAATTC